TTGGCTGCTCCACATGCTTACTGCTGGAGTTCCTGCTGGGGGCCTCAGGTCCTCCTGTACTCCCCACTGACTGAGGCTCAGGCAAGCAGGGTCAGCTGAGGTGCAGGCAAGCCTTGATGGTGGCTGCCTAGCCACCCAGGGCCGGTCCAAGGCTCAGGTAACCAGAGTCAGCCAAGGCTTGCCCTGCCAGCAGTGGCAGCAGCAGAGGTGTGATGGGGGTGTCACCTTCCCCTGATTGCCGGGTTGCCTCCTGCCCCTGAGGGATCCCGGACTGTGAGAGGGAGAAGGCCTGGCTGAGGGAACCCCTTTCCACTGCATAAATTTTCATGCACCAGCCTCTGGTTTGTATATAATGTTACTTTTTTAAATAACTGATAGACGCAAATAGGAAAAGGCACAAAGGGGATTCAGAGAAAGTCTCTTCTATGTCCACCAGCCACTTTGTTTTTCTAATGTGAGACTTACCAGTTTCTTTACACTGTAGTTTACATGTGTATAAATTGTATAAATACATACAAAACTTTAAACAATACTGTATTGGTAAACATTGTAGAATTACAAAACACAGTTAGACAAAATTAAAAATAAATTAAAAACCACTAGAAATTTGATGATCCAGAGTAGGCACTTTTAACATTTGGGTATATGTTTATCTATTCTTAAAAATTATTTTTGGAAATAATAAATGCATATATGCTTATTTGACATTTAATAGGATGGATATGAAGATGAGCTTTCAGATTTTACTCCAAATTTTGCTGTACAGCTTGAATTTAAATAAGCATATATGTATTTATTATTTGCAAAGATAAATTTCATTTTCAAAACTGAGGTATCAGCTGTAAAAATGTGTATACATTTTGGGGAGATACACTGTATATATGATTATATAATTCACACATATTTCAAATCCAACATGTTTGTTGGGAGCCATCAGAGTTGAGACAAGCAACTCCGTCTTAAAGAAATAAGTTCCTTCTAGCAGAAGTTATGTGGTGCCCTGAGGGTTTGGCCAGAAGATAAGATTAACCTGCCACTTAACATCTTTGCAACTTCCCCTTCCTGATCCTCCCCCATAGCTAGCCCAGCCTTGGAATGTTACACCTTGGAATGTTATGCTGCCCTGGCAGTTAGCCAATCCTGTGTTGCCAGATACCTTACCACCTTGCCACTCAGTGCCTAAACCAATTATACACTGCCAAAGACTCCTCTGCATAGGCAACCCTGCCCCCCTTTGTTTCTGCTGTATATATACAACCATTTCAAAGAATAAAGTTGAGGCTTGATCAGAACCTTGTCTTGCCTCCATTCTTCCGGGTTCCTTGTTTGTTTCATTCTCTTAGGTGGTTCCTCCGTACCCCTGTTGTTGCCCCGAGGGCCGGGACACATGTTTAAACCTAAACTTCTCTTTTCACTCAAAGCATTTTTCTGTCTCAGTTAATGACACCCTTATCAGAATCTCCGTGAGCTATTTTCTCTTTTTATCCCCAAATTTATAATTAATCAAACCTATGTTAACTTAGTATTTGAGTTACAAGTTTTGGGCTCACTGACAACTTGTCCTTCAGGGATCTTCTCATTTTCTTTCTTTTTAAAATATATTTTATTGATTTTTTTTTTCAGAGAGGAAGGGAGTGGAATAGAGAGGTAGAAACATCCTGCACACCTCCTACTTGGGCTGTACCTGCAACTAAGGTACATGCCCTTGACTGGAATTGAACCTGGGACCTTTCAGTCCACACACCGATACACTATCCACTGAGCCAAAATGGTTAAGGCAGATCACATTTTCTCCCTTATGAAACCTAGCACAGTTCTTTATCCAAAGAAGAGACTAAAATTTTACTTTTAACTTTATTAACTTTATTCCTAATTAAAATAAAATATTAATACTGGTCAGGGACCTATAAAGCACTAATGTTTGATTGTCCCCACTTTTCAAGAATCAAATGAAAACTGAAGTCTAAGCACAGTATATTATCTTTCCTTTAAGTCAGATTTAATTGATTATGATGTATGTACCACCACTAATACAAGGAACCATTTTCAAGAATAAATGTCTAAGAGAAGACCACAGCAGCCTCATTCTCTGGACCTTAGGGACTGAGGTTCTTTCTTAAGCAGCTTCCAAAACTTATCAAAAAGGAGACATACAACAATGTGTAAATGGCTGCCACTGTTATATTCATACCTCTTCAAGGGAAGAACAGGTTAAATGGAATAAGATTCTCACTTGTTATGTGTATGCTACACATGGATTTTGCAATAACTCCAGCCTTTAAATTATGATTTTAACATTCTCTTTGTGTGTGGGTGGGTTTTGCTCACAGGATAGTGTTATTCTGTTGAATACAATGTGTCTTTTTCTCAAAAAAATTTTTGAAGAAAAAAAATGACTATATTAAAAATAAGAAAGCAAAACAATATGTAATATTTACTAAGTTTTCCTATTCAAATTTCCTCATTCCATATTGTCTTCAAACTGTAATCCCAAAATTTAAATTAAATTCAAATTCAGCGATGCATGTGTAGCTTATCATTATTCTCTTTAATGTAAATTACTTATCCCTGATACTGAAAAAGAAAAAACAAACAAACATTTCTCATTTTATTTTAGAACATAGACCCTTAATAGTTGTGCCATGTTTGGGTTGAGGGTGTTCTAGTCAGTGGAGTTTTAAGGTCATTAGGAGCAGAAACAATGTCTCCTATTTCATTTGGGGGCATGTAATTATCTCTCAGTAAATAATTATTCATTAATAAAATCCATAATAAGAGGAAATAGGAGCAGCAGAAAAAAAATACACAGATATACTTGGTGCTCCATTGCTTAAATCATGTTAGTTATCAGTCTTCTATTTAATTTTTAATACAAGCTAGTATATTCTATCCCCCTTGTACCCATATTCCTATCTGCAACAGTATTAATGGCAGTGACTATCATTAGTGGAGTACATTCTAGGTAAGACCTTTAAATTATATTCTGAAATTTTCACATTAACCTGAAAAGCAGAAATTCTTTTCTTTTTCACTGATCAGTAAACACATAAAATTAACTAACTTGCAAAGCCATACAGCTAGAGAAGTGGTACAGTGTGGTATTTAAGCACATGAACTGTAGCATCATGCAGTCATTTATTCGAAATCCAGCTCCTCCACTCTCTACCAGTTGTGTCACCTCTCTAAGCTTTTGTTTCCTTGATAACAAAGTATAGTTATAATTTTGGCTTCCTCATTGTGTGTGTGTGTGTGTGTGTGTGTGTGCCCACGATATCCCAAACACTTTGCTCGGTTCTCAATAAAAAGAGCTAGACAAAGTGTTTGGAATATCTTAAACATACACACACATACACACACACAGGCACATGCACACATGCATAGAAGCTAACACCAAAGCCTGTGTTTTTTATCATGCTGGTGTTCAGAAACCTGTGCTTCCCCTAAGGACAGTGCCCTCTCTTCACTTCTATGCTTTGGCTAATTTATCTACCTTTCACCACCGAACTAATATTTATTTTCTTAGACTACAGTCTGAGCAGAGATTGTTAAGTTTTTACTCGTCCCTAAGGCCTATGGATAGCTTCTTCAAAAGTCATTGGTGCGTTTTAAAACCAAACTGCATCCCCAGAGAATCTGGGATATTATTCTCTCATTATTGCTTGTTGAGGATTCTATATGTGCCTACCTGCTTGTGTTCACCTACCGGATTGTAAAACCTCAAAGGCATGAAGTATGTCTTTTTATTCAACATTCTTGACACCAAACACAGCACCTGAACCATGGAAAACACCCAATAGATATTGGAAGGATGGAGGAGGCGAGGCGAGGGGAGGCTCATGGAGGAAATGGCGGAGCTACCAAGGTTGCAGTCCCTGTGGGTATTCCAAATCAGTGAGCAGTCTCTGAATAAAAAACAAACAAACAAACAAACAAACAAAAAACAGTTATGGATCCAAGAAGCCTACCATAGCTGCGTTTATCAGGGTTCCCTCCCTTGAGCTGACGTATAAACTTAAAGGCCAAGTGCTGCCAAGGCAGTGTGTAAGTATAAAGAATTCAGAAGCTTTCCTTCTTCCTTTCCCACGTTTTTGGGAGCCTGAGATGATGTCAAAGCAGAGACACTATACTCCTCAGATATGAGAGTGGTTAAGTGGCATGGCCATCTGCAGATCACACCGATGTGCTTCTCAAAGTGTATGGACAACGCTGATCACAGGTGATGTTAAAATGCGGGTTATGATTCAGTTGTTAAGTTTTACTCTGTATGAGAAGGAATTTCCCAAAAATTCCATGTTCAAACCCCACCCTCCAAAAAAACAAAAAACAAAACAACACACACACACACACACACACACACACACACACGCACACAAACAAACAAAACTAAACAAACAGAAAACAGTGAGGCATTGTATTGTAGGCCAGTGATTCTCATCTTTGGCTTTACATTAGAAAGACTTGGAAAGATGGACTGTCATCTCCTCTTCTCCCCCCACCAATTAATCAGAAATTAGAGGGGCTTCCTCAGAGTGATTTTAAGGCAAAGCCTATGTGGGAACCGCTCAGCTACCAGTGCCACTCAAAGTCTGGTCCAAATTCAGTGCAATTGGCACACTGATGGTCTGTGATAAGATAAGCATCTGAACTGAGAGTACGACTTTAGAAACTTTTACAGCAATATGACGTTATTAAATAAAGTAACAAAAATAGATGGACCCGTTTAAAATAAACAGTTGACTAACAAACATTTGAATAACCCTCCAAGGAAGGCTTACTTACACATCCACCTCTGGAGGTGAGAGTATGCTAGGCCCCTCTGTAAGCTGCTGCCTCTTAAAGCTGAAACGTTAAGGTCAGTGATTAATTGCTCAGGCAGCTCATTGGGAGACCTGGGTACAACAGGGTTAAGGAGCGGGAATGGGGGAGGTGGGGTTGCAAACCGGGAACACATGCCCTCCGAGTGAGATAGCTTTCTTTCCCTTTATTGCCCGGAAAACATACACACGCTCACATAACACGGGAGGTGAGAGCTGAATGAAGTTTTCTGGGTAATGGCTTGAAATGTTTTCCTTATGAGAAGCGGTGTTGAGTTACAGCGTGCAGGCTGAAAACTGGGAGGAGAGAAGCAGCAGCCCCAGCCCGGCCCCCACCTTTCCTTGGGCTTGTAGGAAGGTGGACATGGGCTCCCGGAGACAAGACGAGTGATATGTTGAACTCTCTGGCAGCTGGCATCAACTGCTCCAAGAGTGACCCAAGGACAGAGCTCCGCAGGGTTGAGCCAGGGGCCAGCCCAGCGGGCACAGATGCGCTGCTGTGAAATGCCACGCAGGCAGAGACTGACAAGCGGTAGGAGCTGAGCTTTCCCCTTGGACTGCTGTTTCCTGCTGTGTTCAGGGGAGGGGGGCGCCTCCTGGCAGCTCTGCTGCTGCTGCTGCTGCTGCTGCTGCTTCAGCTCCCTCTGCACTCAAGGTAAGCAGCCTCTAAGGGATGGCAGGCAGCAAGGGAAGCCTTTGTACCATGAACAAGATCCGAAAGTTTTTCCGCGGAAGTGGGCGAGTCCTGGCATTTATATTCGTAGCTTCTATCATCTGGCTGCTCTTTGACATGGCAGCTCTCCGCCTCTCATTCAGTGAGATCAACACTAGGGTGCTTCTGAAGGAAGACGTAGTCAGAAGGGAAAGGATAGAGTTCAGAGTTCAGCCTGACCAAATGAAAATTCTTTACAGCAGCAGGAGAGAGAGAAAGCCCCCATTCAGGGGCACCGGGAAAGTGCTATGGGGCAAAGAGAACTTGAGAAAGACGGAGGAGCATGGGCTCAAGATTGAAGATGATTTGGACCAAATCCAGAAGGAAAGACGGATACAGAAAGTTCCAGGAAGTGTCAAGATTGCACCTTTGTGGCATCCTGCACATCTACAGACCTTTCCTGTGACTTTTACCAAGCCCATGACAGAGGTACATGCCATCACACCTGAAGCCTATTCTCGCCCTGTGACCACAAAGCAAATGATAGTTCAGGGGGCTCAGAAAACCACATTCATAGCAGCCAGAGGAACTCCATCGCCCCAACTATCTCTAAACGCAAGACCTTTTGGTATAATCCAGGAGGCCCAGAAGAGACATAGTCACAGCAGTGACACATCAAAACAAGCCGCTGAAAGGAACCTGGATGTGACCATCAGGTTTAACAGTGACAGACCAAACCAGATATCTCAGGCCGTAGCAAATGAGAGGACATTCTCTGCCAGTCCACCAGTGCCAAAATCTAGGGAAGCCTTAACCTTAAATGAAACTGAGGCTCAGAGAAAATATCCAACCGCATATAAACACAGAGCCAATAAGAACCTTCCCTTTCCCAAGTTCTCTGCCAATTTAAATCACTTACAGAAGCAATCTATTAATGAGGCACAGTTGGGAGACTTGCCAAGGGATGATGGAGCCAAAGTGGCTGGTGGGAAGAAATTCAACTTTTCTGAAAGCCATGTTGTGATTATAACGAAGGAAAAGGAGCTAAAGACAAACACCAAACAGATCCCTCATCCTAAAATGAAAACTGTATTTCCTTTCGTATTGGGTGAAGGACAAAGAAAACACATTTCCAAGAACAGAAGTGAGGCATCCTTCTCTTCACTAGCTCAACAGAGAGCAACAGTGTCTCACACTAATCACATCTTAGCTGGAGGACTAAAGTCAACAAAAATCAGCTTAAATGCCAAGGTCCAGCAGGAAGAACTCAATCAAAGGCATACAAAAGCCCTTTCACCTAAAGACAGCAAAATGCACCAAGTATTAAGGATCGATCAGACACTTTCTCCAAGGGACCCCAAAGCCCCAGGGCAGTTTGGACGTCCTGTGGCTGTGCCCCAGGGAAAGGAGAAGGAGGCAGAAAGAAGATGGAAAGAAGGAAACTTCAATGTCTACCTCAGTGATTTAATCCCAGTGGACAGAGCCATTGAAGACACAAGACCTATTGGGTAAGATCCATTTTTCTTCTCTTTCCTCCACACCAAGTGTGTTGGTTCTGATGTAGAACATAGCTATTTCTAGATAATTCTGTTTGATTCTTGGTAACCTAGAGAATGAAAGCAATATAAATCACTAGACATAGTCCAAATAGTCTACCACCCACAGAAGGTAAAATTCCAATTTTAGTACTAGGATACCACTGTGCTCTCTTCTTACTCTTATCTCTCTGAGACTTTGGCTCTCACCCCTGTTACCTTATGTTTCATTTCCTTTCATCTATTGCAAACATAGAAATGATTAGATGAATTCAATTCTTGATAAGATGTGTATGAATGACAGAACTTAAAATGTCATTCCACTAGAAGAGTGACAATGAAGTGAATTCTCAATTTCAAAACTTTACAATGTTAGCAGGTTTGTTGAGAATATATTTGGGAATGGAGCACAGATAAGGCCTCCCTAAAATCATATCTTAACCAGCAAAATTCTGCCTAATCATGACAAATGATTACAAAAATATCAAGTGAAAAATGACTTTTCTCCCTAAAATGTAATATCTGTTGGAGGTAAGGATCTTAGACGGCTCAGGAGTTCAGTTATACAGGAACAAGATGGTTGAAAAAAGTCAATCAGCCAATAACTAGCAAAAACCTATACAAGAGCATAATAATAACTGCGTGTATTTCTAGAGTTGCACCATTTACAAAGAGTCCGCCTGCATATCACATGGACTTCTTAAAAGTCCTAGAAAAGAAACTGCAGATATTATGGGTTCAAATGAACAGATGAGGGGCCCAGAAGTTATATCACTTTCCCAAAGTAGCATAGCTCTAAAGCTGCCCAAGGAGCCTTCGTAAACCCGTGTTTCAAGGAATTAAATTCCTATGCCTACATCACCAGAAGGCAGATTGAGCCACAACCATATGGTCTGACTCAAGTACAGTTGGATCCCCACCTCTTTTTAATTCTCTCTCTCATAAGTTAGGGTTCTTCGTATCCATTAACATCAAAGCCCCTTGATATACAGGTCCCTGAGCCAAAGAATCTTTGCCTGGAATTTGGAGTTAGGGGCTGTCAAGATTCTAGTGCAGCACACTTGGTATGTAAATGAGGACTTTGTTTGGCCTCAGTAGAAAACTCTCTTTTTGTGACCTGGGTAGTTAGAATTACCAGGAGGAAGGCAGAAATCACTGAGCCTGTGTTCAGATTAGTAAGTAGAGCCTCTTCATTATGATGCAGGCCACACTCTCTTAGCCTTCGGCAGATGACCTTCAGACATGCACTAGTTGCCTGCATAGACCAACTACTGTGCCATTCGTGTTCTTCACTCTAGTGAAACTCACAGACTCTGAGGAGAACACAAATGTACCAAAATAAAGACAAAGAAACCAAGGACCCAGGAAGTTAAATTGTCAGTGATAACAGGACCAGTAATTGTAGAGTAATGATTAAAATCCATGCTCAAAAGTATGCTGTATGTTATCTGCCATCTCTTGCTACTTATTACCCCCTGCCCTCCCAAAAGGATCTTAAAACTTATGGTGGAGCAGCTCTGATCTGAAGTTTTGTATATTACATATCACATGTATTTTATATGATTTATATACATATATGCCAGCTTTGAACATTAAGTATGAGGGAGTGCAGGAATAGTGAAAGTAGCTCCATTTCAGTATTCCTTCAATAGCCAGCAGATTGCTACGGATCCTGGGGGAAAATCAGACGTGCACAGAAGCAGAGGCTGAAGTTCCAAAGGCCAATTGTACAAGGGCCAAAGCAAGTAATAATGGTGCTATTATGCATGTGATTTATTGACGACTTGCTGACTCCCAGCACTTACTAGTTCCTGAAATTTGGTCCACGGAGGTTAGCAGCCCAGGAAAGTTACTTTTACAGTCATGTTCTGTCTTTGGAAGGAGGTTGTCCCGACTGCAGGAGGAACTGACACGTGTGCTTGAGAGGATGAGTCAGACAGCATGTGGCCAGTCCCCTCCCTTTTATCACATAACCCACCTTGGCTAAACACAGCTGCTCTCTGCGAGTTGCCTACCTGATGCCACTCCACCAACAGGATAGAAGTGACAGTTGAGTCACCAGGGATCCTATGCCTGGGACCCCCTAAAGTATTTACAGTCCTTTTGTGTCATGTTTCCTTGAAAAAGAACATTTTTTTTCCTTTTACTCAAATGTGCCAACTACAAATATGTGTAAAAATATCTATTTATATGGATAAAGGTTGGAAGAAAACACAAATGAAAAATATTAGCAGGCATTGGAGTGAAGTTTTCTTACTTTGATTTTATTTATTTGCAGCCTTGTTCACAAAGTATATGAGAAGGCTTTAAAAATATACATTAAGATCTTTTTAAGATAAAATGTAAAAGTAAGCATAAGAGAAAAATTGTTATAGAATATAAGAGAAAGTGTGTGTGTGTGTGTGTGTGTGTGTGTGTCTGTGTGTATGTGTGTGTGTGTGTGTGTGTATGTGATAGAGGGGGGGGGCCCCCTAGCCTTAAAATTAGCCATAGTAGCATCCCACTGAAGTCTTTACATCTTAAGAATTCTGTGAACTCTCTCCCTTGCTGCCTTTTACATTTCCTCCACATCTCCCATTACAGATGGATTAACACTGTTACTGATACATCATAACTACCAATTGAATATAGATTGAATTAAAAAAAAAAGGAGGGGGGATAAAACCGTAGATTTGCTAGTAGGTTTATTTAATATATTCCCATCAATAAAGATAATAATAACTAGTTACTAGTTATTATCTTCTTAAGGATGATTTAGTAGATATGGTGGGAAGAGGTTGGCATTGAGGAGATGAGGCAGGCAGGACAACCTCGTCTGCTCTAAAGTCAGACGCTCTTTTCCAAATCTGATCTTCCCTCCTTTTCTCCTGAGTCCCCAGAAACCATCTCTAAGATGTTAAGACACAATCATGGTCTTTTCCCAAAGCACCGGAACTCCTTTCTGTTTTCAGCATTTTCCCCACTGTCCTTCTCAGTGACACCTGTCTCTGCCCCTTGCAATGTAGCTACAGTTTTCTGGATGTGACATTCTCTCCAATATAGGCCCTCAGCTTGAGAAAAGTTAGTCTCACTACCCTTTCGTACATATTATTATAGTCATTACCATCCACTAGTGTTTTTATAAGCTAGTCCCTTCCCCCAGTCTCCCCCCAGCCTCCCCTTGCACAGTCCTCACCATTTCCCCCCACACATTTTAATTGGATACTGCTCCGAATCCAACTGTAGCTTATGTGCACCTGGACCACAATGTGATGTAACCTCCACATTCCAATGACACCCCCCACCCCCCCCAATGCTCTTGTGGTCACTGAAACACTCCTTGTTGCCTGCTCTGCACTAACTGGAGCCTTGAGAATCTAGTTTGCCTTCTCCGTGAAATTTTAAGCTTCTGGGAAAAACTCTTGCATTTTATTTTGTACTCCTTAGCACTGAGCAGTGTTGTGCACTCAAAAGATACAAGTTTACACAATATGGCTTTCAAAGGTCTGTTGCTCGGCCAAAATGGGTTTGGCTCAATGGGTAGAACGTCGGCCTGCGGATTGAAGGGTCCCAGGTTCTATTCCGGTCAAAGGCATATACCTTGGTTGCGGGAACAGCCCCAGTGGGGGGTGTGCAGGAGGCAGCTGATCGATGTTCCTCTCTCATCGATGTTTCTAGCTCTCAATCCGGCTCCTTTCCTCTCTGTAAAAAATCAATAAAACACATTTTTTAAAAATATGTTTTTTATTGATTTTAGAGATAGAGGAAGGGAAAAGAAGAGAGAAATAGAAACATCAATGAGAGACAAATATCAACATCGAGTGGCTGCCTCCTGCACGCCCTCAACCTGGGCACACGCTCTCATGGGGACTCGAACCCAGTGACCTCTTGGTGCATGGGTCTACATTCAACCACTGAGCCACACTGACCAGGCTAAAATGATTTTTTTAAGTTAATACTTTTTATAAAAGTAATGAGAGGTAACTATTCCAATGAAGCTTGCAATGAGTTTTCATAAATTAATAATTCTTTTATAATTTTTCATTTTGAATATTGGGAATATGCTAGTATCAGATTTAAGGTAAACATGTCCTGTTCTAACATTACAATATATTCATTAGTTCATGTTTATTCTTTAGTGCATATTTTTGTTACTAGGGGCCCAGTGCACCTTGAAAGGATTTGTGGGCCGCGAGGCTGCGGTGGGCACAGTGGCGGGTCTGGCCCATCCTTCGCACCCCCTTTCACAGCAGCCCCTTTCACAGCAGCCCCTGGTCCCCTGTCTGCCAGAAGTCCCCTCCTACCACCACCGCTGCTCCCATGCACTGACAGTGCTGGCCCCACTCGCACCCGCTGATGGAGCAGAGCCATTGGGGCCAGTGCCAGCAGCGGGGGCGAGCAGGTCCATAGACAACAGTGGGTGAGAGCAGTGGCTGCTGGCCCTGCTCGCCCTTCAGGAGCAGGGGGAGGTGGAGACGCTATGAGGAGCAATCCTGGTGGCCAGTTGCCACTCCTACCCGCTGATGGCACTGAGTGATCAGGGCCAGTGCCAGGAGCTGGCAGCCAGTGTGAGCACAGGGTGGGACCACAGTGTGGGGGAGCAAAGAATTTTCAATAACTACCAGAGGCTTTCCCCGATGACAATGACCGGTGTCCCACCTTGGTCTGGTGCCCCTGCTCACCTGTTCCACCATACCACTGTGGCCGATGTCCACCATGTTCTGCACATGCCTCCCGGTGGTCAACACACGTCATAATTACCAGTTGTTCGGTTGTTCACTGTTTGGTCTATTTGCATATTAGGGTTTTATATATATAAACTAGTGACTCGGTGCATGAAATTTGTGCATGAGGAGGGTGTCCCTCAGCCAGGCCCATACCCTCTCCAATCTGGGACCCTTCGGGGGGATGTCCGACTGCCAGTTTAGGCCTGATCCCTGTGGGATCACTGGCTCCCAACCAATCAATCACCTGCCTGCCTGCTTGATCACCCC